AACAGATTTGGATGCCCAGCCTTAAGTGCCAGCCATGATCATAAAGCAAAACTAAACACTTAGCTCTTTTCTTTTCTTTTCTTTTTTGCTGTTTTAAAGTTGTCACAGCAGGCCATTCGCTGCATCCTTCCAGCAGTTTGACTTTGCCTCCAAAGGCACATTCTTCCATTGTCTCCCAAGACAGACAGATGCCAGCAACAAGAATTTCAAGTAACAAAACGTACCCATATAAGGAAAAGAGAGCTTAGTGGTTGTACAGGAAAGATGGTTGTAGTTTTAGATGTTCCAAGAATGGCCAACAAATGAACATGCCTCTCCATAAGATTCCTTGAGTTGATGGACGATGAAAAGCACAATCAGTTGTCTTAACAAAGTCAGTAAAAGGATGGCATGCCATATATAAGGTGTGAGCCTTCCCCCAGCCCCAATCGATATTCCTTTTGTGAAATGGTTAATTTGTACATAAGCACCATGTCCCATACAGTGGTACCTCGGGTTCCAGACCCTTCAGGTTACAGGCTCCGCTAACCCAGAAATAGTACCTCAGGTTAAGAACTTTGCTTCAGGATGAGAATAGGCGGCAGCGGGAAGTCCCATTAGCTAAAATGGTACCTCAGGTTAAGAACCGACCTCCAGAACGAATTTAGTTCTTAACCCAAGGTACCACTGTACTTGCAAGATTCAGACTTCAAAAAGATTCGCATTTAAAGTCATCCCATTTTTTTGCCATTAATAATCTAGCTGCAGTTAATGGAGGATGAGGTTTTTGTTGGTTTTATGTTCTTACTCTGAGGAGTAAAATAACATAGTAGGGCTGATGTTGAGTCTGGTTGTAGCGATTTCGAGGCTGGTTGTAGCGATTGCCCGCAGTGGGACCACATCTGGCCACCCGAATGCCTCTTGCAGTTCCAATTGCCAATCCATAAGCCAAGGGTCAGCAAATTTTTCCGCAGGGGGCCGGTCCACTGTCCCTCAGACCTTGTGGGGGGCCGGACTATATTTTGAAGGGGAAAAATGAACGAATTCCTATGCCCCACAAATAACCCAGAGATGCATTTTAAGTAAAAGGACACATTCTACTCATGTAAAAACATGCTGATTCGTGGGCCGGATTTAGAAGGCGATTGGGCTGGATCTGGCCCCCGGGCCTTGGTTTGCCTACCCATGCCATAAGCAAAAGAGACCTGGAGGGTGTAATTCTTGGTGGAAGGTCATCTCCCTTCTCAGAGGAAAGTCAATTGTTGACCAGGGTCATGGATGACGAAATGTGGAGGAGAAGAAAATGCATTTGCTGGCTGAGGAAAAATTGGACGTTTAGAGCTGTGGGCAGGCAGGCTGAAGGTGTATGTAGAAGGGAAGAGATTTCCCTGTTGTAAATAAATCACTAGCCTAGTATATACAAGGAGGACTCTTATTTAAAAGCTTAAAGATGCATCATCGTTTCAGGCAGGGTCTCTTCTGCTTGACAGCTGGTGCTTCGCCAGGGGTGTGTTTCTATGAATCTTGCCAAGGAGTTTAGTCTGTGATAAAATAGCTGAACTTACATACAGAGGAGGCCCAAGACATTTGCTGCCTCAGGCAGCAAATTCCACTTGACAGCCCCTCTGCCATGGTTCTGAAAATTATAATAATAAACAAGACGGTTGGCATGCTACTTACCCTGAAGTGATACCTGCAAATCCCCTTCGCCCTGCAGAAATGTTGGAGCTGGCCTTTTTGCTTAAATGGTAGGGCTTGTCCTCCTTGCGTAGTATTACTGCATTTCATAGATTCTTAGTATGAAAAAGCATCCTTTGCTGTGTTAACTTGCTGCGTGTGGTGAGAGCCGAGAAGCCAAATTCTAACTGAACTTGGATGACTAATTTTTCATAATGTTTCCTCAGCCGTATTTCCTGCTTTCAAACTACAGAGTTCCTGTCTTGCAGTTTCCAGCTCTTCCCCAACACCCCCCTGGTCTCCCACCAAAAGCAGGGTGAAAATTGACTTTCGTCACTTCCATGATTAATTACGCCTGTTCTACCATTCTTTTGTCTCAGGGAGATAATGGAAACAAACCTTAGGCATTTGATCATAGCCTATCACCATAGTTTGAGGGCAGCACATTAACTAGACATGGGATTAATAAAAACGAATGGGAAGGGGAACCACTGGCCATACTTGCTGCGGCTGATGGGATTTGGAGTCCACCAATACCTGGAGGACCACAGGTTTTTATCCCTAAACTTATCCCACAGCATGAGAAGAAATTCCAGTCTTACATCTAAAAATCTAGTGTTCACGAAGCTACTAACATGAGTTTGACCAAACTGCGGGAGGCAGTGGAAGGCAGGAGTGCCTGGCGTGCTCTGGTCCATGGGATCACGAAGAGTCGGACATGACTAAACGACAACAACAACAACTGCAGACATTATGTTCCCAACCTCTCAAGCACAGTTAGGAAGCAGGGGATCTTGTGTGACCTTGTAGGCCTTCCCTTTTCAGAACCAAACATGGTGCAGTGTTGCACTTTCACCAACTGGAGTGTGCTGAACGGGGTTGTTTTCATGCCCAGGTTCTGTGGGTTTTGAGCCTGGTAGCGTCAAGTCTGTTCGCAGATGTTAACGCTGCTTTATCATTTGGGAGGTGATCTGCATGTGGCAGAATTGGGAGTGCAGAAACTCCGGACGTTGCTCCCGCAGGAGGCAGTGATAGACTGCAACTTTTGGATGGCTTTAGAAGAGGATTAAGCAAATCCATGGGAAATGAAGCTATCAGTGGCATCCAACCATGATAGCTGTACTCTGCCTCCACGGATATCAGTTGCTTCTGGATATCAGTTGCTGGAAGCTGCAGGAGTAGAGAGCGTTCTTTTGCGCAGGAACTGTTTTGAGCTTCTGTAGGCATCTAGTTGGCCACAGTGATCACAAGATGCTAGATTTGATGGGTCTTTGGCTTGATCTGGCAGACCCTTCTTATAATTCCTGGGGTATCCTGGAGAAAGTGGAATGGACCATTATAAATTAATACATTTTAAAAAACATTTCCCCAGCTTCTGTGGCCTCATAGCTCTGGTCCCACCTTTGAATGGTTGCTATTTGCCTTCCTGTCTAGATTTGGGTACCATTTTCCCCCATCCTGGCCCTGGCAGCTCTCTCTAAAAAGGCAGGTACCAGGCGCTGGACCAACATGAAGTTTCTGAGTATCTGAGCAGCCATCAAGGGCAGAGTCACATGGATACTGCATTCATTGCAGAGATGTGTGCTTTTTTTAAATAAAAAAAAAACCCAATTCTGGCAGTGAATGCGAAGGAAAAGTTTTGAAGGGCCTTGGGTTCTCATGGTGTGGAGCAAGCTGCAGTTATTAAAGGGGATTAGGGTACACAGCTGGTGAGCAGATGGAATGCTTGCAATTTCAAAGCCGCACTCAGCCGTAAACCAAAATTTACACAAAACCTATTAGCTCCCCCCCCCCTTTAATTACGAGTAGCTCAGTTCATTTACTACTTACTACCTGGGCCTCTTAATTCAATTCAAATTTGAGGCTTTACGTAATATTCTCAAACTGAGCCTTTTATCGCTTCGGCTGCACCCTAGTGTGGTCTTGGGAAGGGAGCCGGGGGTCAAAATATTAATTGAGAGAAATGGTTAATAAACTCTGTTTTCTCTGTTTCTTCGGTAATAACTTGGCTCAGGCTGTCCTATTACCCTCTGCTTGTCCGCTGCAGAATTTCCCCGTTCCTCTTCCCACAAAAGCCAAGTACCTCTTGCAACAGATGAATGAGGAATCAAAAGGGGACTAGTCTGGACTTTTCAGCTTCCTTTTCATCGCCTCCCGATGAAAACTTGCATCTTGACTCTAAAGCAGACACTCGAAATTCCTTCTCACCAGCAAGAGAGAGAGAGAGAGACTTCTTAAGGCTCAGGTCTTTCCTTTAACCTTGTTTTGGTGAAATGTCCAGCAAGATCGAGGGCCTCGGTTCACGAAATTCCCCAACCCATTCTTAAATTCGAAAGCAGCTATGCATGGCTTGAGCAGCCATCATGAATAACCTAACACAATGAATGGAAAAATTCCTAATTGGGTATGGTAACATTTCACAGGCGTGGTTGTTGTTTTTTGAGAAGCCCAGGTTTGTCTCACCAAAGCATTTTGTGAAACATTTAACTTGTCCAAGTACCAGGAGAACCTGGTCTGCTGATGAGACAACTTCTTGTGTCCTGATGCACATCCAGATTTACAGTGCATCTCTGGATGCAAAGTTGGATGGTGAGAGCTTCATCTGCCTGGGTGGAGATACTGTCCTTGGTGATAATTTTTCATATGAGTGATCTCTGGGGTACTGGACTGATTTTTAAAGATAATGTAACTTGCTGTGATAAGAATCTGCATATTTTATTAGGATGCTTGTTTCCTGTATATAGAACGGTGTTCATTATCACTATGTTGTTAAGTGCCTGCTGGATCAGGCCAGTGGCCCATCTAGTAAGAATCAGAAGTGTAGAGTCAGAAGGGACCCCTGAGGATTGTCTAGTCCAGGGGTCTGCAACCCGCGGCTCCGGAGCCGCATGTGGCTCTTTTACACCTTTGCCGCGGCTCCGGGGCGGATACTAGCAAGGGGAGGAGGCGCATTGTGCGCCCCGTCACTCCCCACTGTGGCGGGCGCTGTACTGGCTGTGACGTCGCATGGGGGCGGTGCGTGCGTTAGTCACGCACCGTCCCGATGTCACCTTCCCGCCCACCCGCTACATTGTAAGGGGCATGTACGCTGGTCACTGTTTTGAAGGGGAGTGAAGAACACACACACACAAAAAGGTAACTTGTTAATTTAACGTTTATTTCTATGAGGAGGAGTCAAACAAAGAAATAATAAAAAAAAGTGACAAAAAAGTTATTTTTATGATGACGAGTTTTGTGGCTCCCAGTTTTTTTTTCTTCGGAAACGGGTCCAAGTGGCTCTTTTTGTCTTAAAGGTTGCAGACCCCTGGTCTAGTCCAGCCCTTTGCAATGCAGGAATACGCTGCTGTCCCGTACGGGGATCGAACCTGCAACCTTGGCAAGATCAGCAGCGCATTCTAACCAACTGAGCTATCGAGCCCAGCCTCTTGTTCTTACAGTGGCCAGTCAGAGATGGCCTGTGGGGAACCTGCAAGCAAGATTCGAGGACAAGGGCGCTCTTCCCCTGCTGTGGTTTTCAGCAACTGGTATTGATGTTACTATAATTTTTATTAATCACCACGCATCATCTTCCATGCAAGTGTCTCAAGGCAATGCAAAATAAAAACAGTCGAAAGCAACACACACACAAAACAAGCAAAACGACAATACAAAATAGATGCCCATTTCGGAGACCTATTCATCCGACTGGGAAAGCTTGTTGGAACAATTTTGACTTCTTGTGAGGCACTAAACTGTCAGCAATAGTCCACTGAGGGTAGACCAGATCTGGTTCCAGCCTTCAGATTGAAAAAGTTCCTCAGCGCCTGTACTATAAAGCAACTGTTTGTTGTTTTTTCTTCATTTTTCAGTTTTTTGCACTGGGCTCCTAAGACACACTTAGTACTTCCATGTATGTAATTCTCAGTGCATGATGTGTAATCTGGAACCCTAGCCTAGGTTGAAATCAAATTAATCACTTGATAATACCAATTTATTAGACTGCATGGGCATGGATGAGGGAAAGAACAAATGCCAGATATTCTTTGAAAGCTTTTCAGGCTTTTTTTTTAATGGACAATGTCTAGCTTTTGCCCTGCCATCATTTATGCTGTTGTCTTAAACCAAATGGCTTTGTGTGATCCTTTGCCAATTTAGTTTATTAGTTCAGGCTAGAAACCTCTTAACCCAGACCATAGTATGGTTTCCTTTGTAATTCAGTTGAACTTCTCAGGCCAATTTGCATTTACTGTTCAAAGGAACATATTGCTCAGTTTTGGATGTGTCTTTTAAATAGCATGTTCGTTTACATCCCTCCCCCCGCTTTTCCGCTAAAGGGCATTAAGGCTGATGGTCCAAGTCATTCAGTCATTTCTCACAGGCTTCTGTTTTTTAGAAGAATAGAGGGAACTGTGTCAAGTCCAGTGCAAATGCTCTCAGGCTTTTTATATCTCCTTGAAACCTTGCTTTTACAGGTGTGTGATTTCCTTCTTAGAAGACTGATCAGGATGAGGCAATGTTAATGAAACAGAAGTAAGAGGCATGACATTTCCTAAGCCATTGGCAACCAATAGCCGTAAACCTAAGAAAGCAATGCCCAGAGTTTAGGTGACCAAATTCTGGCTTAACAAGTCACGATACGAACAAGCCTCTTGTGTTCTCACAGAGGTCACCATAGTTTCCTGTTACTTCCAAACTCGAAAATCTAGGTTTAATGACTTCTAAACAACCCAGAATATGACAGCTCCATATTCTATTTTAACTGGGGTCTTATTTATTTATTACAAATATTTATATTCCACCTTCCAGGTTGCCTTGCGAGAAATGTTGGTGGCAGGTAGTCCTTCTCGCTTGTGCAATTGGTTGCATGCAGGAGATAGCTCAGTCAGCAGGGAGTGAGAAGGGAGTGAGGTGCTTGGATTGCAGGGTTGTGGGTTCAACCCAACTTTGGGCAGAAGATTCTTGCATTGCATGGGGTTGCGAGAGATCAGTGGCATGCAGTCAGTGTACTAGAGGAACCAGGTCAGTTCCCTAAATATTTGCGGTAAATTAGGCTATTAAAGCCTGCTGCCTCCTTCCCAAAGCCAGGGAGAAGCTTCTGCCTGGCTCAGTGAGGGAGGCGCAGTCCTCCAGTAGGTCCAAGACCCCTCCCACCATCTCCCAAAAGTCCAGGAAGCATCTTCTTGGCTTAGGGTAGGAGGCACGATGCTCCAACGGGGAGGGAGGCGTGATGCTCGTGCATGCAATGTCCCCTCCGCAGTCGCCCGCCTCTGGCTCTGACTCAGGAGTCAGCAACCTTTTTCAGCCGTGGGCCGGTCCACCATCCCTCGGACCATGTGGTGGGCCGGACTACATTTTGAAAAGAAAAAAAATAATAATGAATTCCTATGCTCCACAAATAACCCAGAGATGCATTTTAAATGAAAGCACACATTCTACTCATGTAAAAACACCAGGCAGGCCCCACAAATAACCCAGAGGTGCATTTTAAATAAAAGCACACATTCTACTCATTTAAAAACACGCTGTTTCCCGAACCATCCGCAGGCCAGATTGAGAAGGCGATTGGGCCGGATCCAGCCCCCGGGCCTTAGGTTGCCTACCCCTGCTCTAACTGTTCCCATACAAAAAAAATTCCCCTACGACTCATGGTCCCTTCCAACTCTGAGATTCTATGAAAATTCTGTGAAAAAACCATTCACATGAAGGGCCATAGCTTACTGGTAGAGCATCTATTTTGCACGCAGCCGGTCCCAAATTCTGCCCCCAGTATCTCTAGGTAGGCTTCAGAGAGACCCGTGCCTGAAACCCTGCCAGTCGTTATAGACAGTACTGAGCTAAATGGACCAATGATCTACCTCAGTGTAAGGTATCTTCCTTCATTCCTATGGTTTGTTTTGTTAAGTCGAGGTTCATTCATCTGACTGTGGCCACTGTGTGTGAATTGTTGCTTTCTTTCCAAGACGAAGTCTGAAAAGATCGTCACGTTTCTTCTTGGCTGTCCCCGCAGAACCGAAGTTTGGATGCTATTGTTATTTGAATCTGTGACCTGCTCTCTCCTATATTCCTGGAGTGTGTTGCTATGTGCCTAAAAAAATAACTATAAATATAAGCAAAATATAATGGGAGTAACATTGCTACCCCCGTGTCTCTTTTCACAGCACAGCTTCTGAAAGTTGGAAGCAAATATCCTCTCCTAAAAAGAGGTCATTTGCGAGGATATCTGGAGCAATTTGTTTGCAAACTGCACAGCAGCCTTTGCAATTGCTGCGAAATAAATGCTAATTTACAAATTGCTGCTGCTGCCGGCATTCATCAGACACTTAATTAAACGGTTAAGCAAGTCGTTTAAAAATAAGATTAAAAAGTTAAAAGCAATATAGTAAAGGGCGGTAAGTTAGGGAGAGGCTCCCTGTCTGAAACCCTGGAGAACTGCTACCAGTCAGTGCAAACAGTACTAAGCTTTCTATATTTATTATGCTTTTATTTTTTTAGTCTGTTAACTACTTTTAGCTCTCGAGCAAAGGCAGAGCAATTCTTTTAAGAAATAATACGTAGGATGGCCACGGGTCCTGCTTCACAGAGCCATTCTGTGTAAAGTCATATGGAGTCATCCTCTGTTTTAAGAGCTATCTGGCCCAAGCCTGTTTTGAAGACAGAGAACTATAAGAAGGGAGAGCAGAGGCCTTGGATTTTGCCAGCCAACAGGTAATACTTGGACTGCAAGCACACGGATAATCTGGTCACAGCATTCTGCACTATGGCGAGATGAGTCGTAAAAGGTAAAGGGACCCCTGACCATTAAGTCCAGTCGTGAACAACTCTGGGGTTGCGGCACTCATCTCGTTTTATTGGCCAAGGGAGCCGGCGTACAGCTTCCAGGTCATGTGGCCAGCATGACTAAGCTGCTTCTGGCAAACCAGAGCAGCGCATGGAAACGCCGTTTACCTTCCCGCTGGAGTGGTACCTATTTATCTACTTGCACTTTGATGTGCTTTCGAACTGCTAAGTTGGCAGGAGCAGGGACCGAGCAACGGGAGCTCACCCCGTCGCGGGGATTCGAACCGCCAACCATCTGATCGGCAAGTCCTAGGCTCTGTGGTTTAACCCACAGCGCCACCCGTGTCCCTAGAGATGAGTCGTATATCCCTTTAAATTATAGTAATTATTTCTTTAAAATTGCATGCATATGCAGAAATTAGCATGTGCAAATTTTATACAGGTCTATGCCCTCTTCTTCTTGTTGTTGTTGCATTTCCTGCATTTATTTGCCAACAATTAAGGGGCCAACCTAACAACACGGCTGTTGTGAGAGTCGCTGCCTTGTTGTTTTGGATGGCTCAGGGCTGAAGCTGAGACTTTTCTGAGCCAAGGATTTCAAAGCTCACCACCCCAAGCTAAGAAGGCTGACCAGCTCACCAGCCTGTTTGCAGCCTGGATGCATTCAGAGCACTCCATACAAAAGTTCTGTTTCTCGCTGTAGCCACCAAGAGATTTCTAAGTTGGTGGTTGACGTTGAGAAGAAAGGCTAAAGTTCAACCCGCCAAACTGGACTTGCCTTTTATCCATGTATGCAGCTTCTGTATTGCTGTTTAATTGGCGGTTGCTTCAAAGCCAATGAGCCGTGGCTTTGCTCCATGCTGCGTCTCTGTCGTTCCCCTTTGCAAGGCAAAAGCATTCCTCCAAGGGGGCAAAACACATGTTGCATCAGCTGTCCTCGCCCTCGTATATTGTCATAGGCAGCACCACTTTACCAAGAAAGCTTTGCTTGGCCTTCAGTTGGCCAGCTGTATGTTGTTCATTGCAAGGACTGGCTCAGATCTTGGGCCAGTAATATTTGCAGGGGGTGGGTGTTCGCTGCTGCTGTATTTAAGCAATTGTAAAAAAGGAGGAAAGAAGATGATAAATCCAAGCTATGACCTTCATTCTCGTGCCACCCGGAGAGTCTAGGCTTCCTCTTAATACCTGTCCTCATCAATCCTAGATCCCCATGTGAACAAGCTGGCCAATTGTGGTCTCAAGTATGGTGGTGGTGGAGAACCTCAAGTTGTTCTGTGGGACTTGGACATTCACACCAAGACAGGTCTCAATGGTCAGCTTGGGACTTCTTGGCCACCATGAGAACCATGCGGTTTTCTCAAATGGTCCATTGGCCTGACTGGCAAGGTGGAGCATAATTTCAGATTGGTCCTTGCTGCAGACCTTGAGTGGGATGGTCTGGGGCTGTGATTCCTCCATTATCCTGGTCAAACCATTTCCTGGCATGTCTGGTCTTAAACAACAACAACAACAACAACAACAGCCCCCTCTGCTAGGGTAGAAGACCCATTAAGTTGGTCTGCCTCCAAATACTTAAGGATTCTGGATTCTTGAATGCCTGTTTTCCAGAAGAGCTTACCACCCTTGAATGCCTATTTCCTAGAGCTTACAATCCTATCCAGG